GCTCCACGGGAGGGGTATTTGTAAGGTATATGTTCCTATTGCGAGTCAGCGGGTATTACGAGTCACCTTCAAGTATCGAAGCGATATTTCGTGCATACAACTGACAATGTAAGAGCGGTTTCACGGGTACACTGACGGCGCTCATAGTTGTCGTTAGACTGATTTTTGAAGTGTGCTAATGTTAACCACGACGATATTCCTGAGGCATTTTGCTGTGAAATTTGTTGTTAGTTTTATACTCTTACCCAGTCCCCCTATGTTATTAACGTGTCCATAGGGGAGACGTATAAATAGGCACCCGCAATATAATCAATTTTTAAAACTAACTAGACACTCATGATTTTCATTGCAAAATTTGAAATGTCTGCCAATATTCCTCCTATATAGAATCACTCAATAAAACATTTAGGTGACTCATAATATCAACATGTACCTTATGCCTGAGTAGATTTCATGGATGTGTTGTCCAAATGACCCACTGCCCCGACAGCGTCAGGGAATAATGGAACTCTTCACCCAGCTTAGTGTCACACCATACGCAGAGCACGTGAAGTGAGTGACCTGTGTCATAACTACACGGAGCATCTACTTAGGCCCTAATTGAGACTAACATAATGGGGGGGTGGTTGAAATCTACCATTTACAATGTTTCACACAAAAGATGCGACAATAGGATTATTATGTAGAGGTGCAAATTGTACGTTGCCTATAATTTTAATGGTAATTCTGTCTAGTCATTGTGTTCTGTGCCAGTGATGAGGTCAGGGCACTCGATTTCACCACAGTGAGTGAAGAGCAAGTTTCCCTCAAAGTAGAGCCTCCCTCTCTGCAAGTCATTGCCACAAAATGCACTATATTGAAGATTGAGGATACAAAGCCATAATAACACTAGAACATTTCCTGCACTACCGTAGATACAAGGCACAATTTTTTCAGTAAACTTTCCTGCACCAAATCCAACTGCACTTGTCCAGGGAAGGTGCAGGTGCCTTGTATTGTACTTAGGAAAATGTGATGTGTCTCAGGAAATGTTTGCACTGGAGAGGAATTTCAGCTATTCGTCCAATGCAACATCTCAACCCTTAGCCAGCCACAAGCATATGACCAGAGCCTCCATAAGTCCATAAGAATTTATAAGGGGTAAAATTTGGAGACGTTCTGTGAAAAAATCAACGCTTCAACTGCTTCCGGTAAGGAGCTAGCGCGTCTCAGAAAATGAAGAAGAAGAAGAAAAAGAAGATGAAGAATAATTATGATGATGACACGAAAATCGTGAAATCGCGTATGAGCGAATTCTCTTGTGGACGACTGAAGGCGCGTATGAGGTCATGTATAGGTAGATATGGGCCCATAGACTATTGCTAGTATGTGTTGAAGGCCTAGGGAGTGATTCTCACCGAGTTTTTAGTCGTTTTGTACGCGGATCATGTGAGATTTCATCCGTATCATCCCTATATAGAGAGTTTACCGACTCTAGCGTCTACCGTCGCTCTGATAGAGCGCTGTAACGGACGCTCTGATAGAGCGCCTACTGACGCTGTAATATTCCGTTGCCATCTCAATGGAAGGTTTAATCAATGTTTTTGGTACTCTGGTTCTTAGCCCATGCCATAGCTACCTCTATTAATGTCTATAAGACACATGAAAAGGCCAATAGCTGCTGGACAACTATTTCATAATTATTATTACCTGCAAACGGGCAAGTTTAGAATGTAGTGTGTACTGATATCTGGGACAGATATAGCTAACTAAATTCTAAACTCGGTTTCATCTTGCTCACCTAAAATGGTCACAAAAGAAAGTGGTCAATGTCCCAAGTACAATTATTATATCTGAGTAATAATTTTTGGCATGTCTGCAATGTATAAAACGGGTTGTGAAAAAGGTTCTCTTGGGTATAGTTGCCAATATAGTAATTGGTGTCATTTTAGCAAAAAAGCTTTGAACAACCACTTTACATGACTTAAAAGTTGACATAATAATATTATGTCACAAGACTTAGCTAATTACATAAACTTGCACTTCACACACCTATATAGCTACTCCTCCTGATTGTACTACACTTACAGTAGAAGTCCCTACACATATTATGTCTACGACACCCTCAACTGCAGAATACAGAGAAAAAGCGGACATATTTCTGAATTTCCTAGTGCAGTGCAACCAACCTACCTTTCTCGCTTCTTTCCTGAAACACATCACATTTCCTCAGTATGGTATATACAGGGCAACAGTGTTTTAGTAAAAGCTCCATTTCTTCATAAATTACACTTCATGTCATTTATCAATTGAAATTTTAGCAGATTTATGTAGCTAACAACTCGAGCAAATGAATGGCAAAATAATATTGTGAACCTCTCAATTTATGGTCACACAAAGCTAGACATAGCTAGCATTTTGTCACACACGTTTTGCAGAGTTTGTCACACCATTTCAAACATGGTATATATGACTCAGTAAATGGATGAGAGTGTTTTCTTGGGTGACAGCCAATAATTATGTAATTAGCTCTCGTTTTAACATAAAAGCTTTGAACAACCGCTTTGCAATAGTTACTGTCGGTCCTGCTTCAGCTCAGTGCGAGGAATAAGCATGAAACGAGGATCGGCAACCAAGCATATTTTGGCCTTATCGCTGACTGCAGCGATCATCTGCACTAGTGCAGCTGAGCTAATTCCCGAGGGATTCTCCTGCACGCCAGACATGCCCCGACGCTCGGGCGTCTACAGCACCCCGCCCAATATCAATTCCGTCAAGGTCGACCTCATCCACGTGTTTTGCGGGCAAGTCAGTGACGAATACGGAGTTGGAGGGTTCCACGCACGACCGGGAGACAAGGACCCCGAGTCAGTAGTGACGTCGGACGACATTCTCTCTCGGAAACCGGCTAACGAGTATGATTACTCGGTGTACAAGAAACCGAGCATTTACGACAGCCGCGAAGGGGCGTACGTCATCAAGCCTGCAAGCAGCAGTGTGTGGCCCACTGTTCTCACCATGGAAGGGATTACGCAAATCACAACATATCTAGTTTGATAAGTGCCGGTAAGTATTACCAGCTAACGTGCATCGCTGAATTTCAAGGGGCGGGTAGCGAACAGACTGAACTGAGCAAGCCGAATTTCTTACATGGAGCTGTTCATACCAACACGCTAACACTGGCGAATTTTTAGCTAACTATCGCTTTGGAAGATGTAGACAATTATGCGCTGTTCGCGCGAAAATTCGACTAGGTAGCTATGCAACATACATGCACATGGGCGAAATACACACCAATTGTATAGCTACGTAGCTGCCTCTGGCTGCTTCGCTTCCTTCTCTCCGCGCCAGCGACAGCGCGCCACTCAGGGTTCATTCAGCCATAACGCACGTACGTACGTCACAAATAATTATCGAAATAGATTCACTAGCTAGAATTCACGAGTCATTTCAGCCATGCTATATACTAACAAAACAGACACCTTCCCTCTGTAGAAAATTATAAAACGTACAATCTATCCGCAGTGGGCCGCCACCGGATCACCATCTCTGTGTCTCGGATTTCTCCGTGCTTCCTGGAGACCCTATTTCTCCGGGGTTCGATGTGAGGATCATCATCATACCAGTCACACGGCGTGGGGAGAGTCGCTCTGACAGCGTACCCTTTGAAGAGGGGGCAGCTGCAGCCGCGCCAAGGAAAACTTTTCACGCTGCACTTTCCCGGGACTGTCGTTCTAATACGAAAATCTGAACTGTAGTAGCTAGCTAGATAGTAGAAGATGAACAGTTTTGTAACGGATATTCCCCCATAGCTCTCCCTATGCTATACTCTACGTAGGTCGCGACTGCGCATGCTCAGCTAGTATGGGGCGCCGTCTGTCTCAAAATTGCGCAAATAGCTGTTTTTTATCGCGTCATTTGTAAAATCCCGCCGTTATACAAATCCTTCTGGATTATACATACCCGGACTGGATATAGCATATCCCGCACTGGATATATAAATCCTGCACTGGATATAGCATATCCCGCTACGGATATATAAATCCTGCACTGGATATATATCCAGTGCGGGATTTATATCCAGTGCAGGATATATATCCGGTAGCGGGATATGCTATATCCAGTGCAGGATTTATATATCCAGTGCGGGATATGCTATATCCAGTCCGGGGTATGTATTATCCAGAAGGGATTTGTATAACCGGCGCGGATTTTACAAATGACGCGCGGATAACAAAAACAGCTATTTGCAAATTTTGAGACAGCAGACGGCGCCCCATAAAGCTAGCGCAAAACGCGCCACACATCAGGTTGGCACTCAGTATCGCCATTAAGAGACTCTAAAGCCCAAGAGCGGGACGCTAACTGCGGAATAATTCGAAAGGAAGACTAGTAAGGAGGAGAAAGGCGTCCAAAAGTAGTGTTAGTTAGGAGTAGTAGTAGTAAAGGCAAGTAAAAGCAAAGTATAGTCAGTAGGTGTCAGTAGTAGTAGTAGTAGGAAAGGTATCTTCAGCGAAGATTATACCTATCAAAACATCGCTAAACTCTGCCTCATAGTTGACCCAGTAGCTAACAATATCCTCCCTTGCACGATGCTTTTGATCCACCAGTTTTTGCAAGTCCCTGATTGATCATGTGACAGCGACACAGCGGACAATTGACTACTACTGAAAAATGGCCGCTTCCGCCGCTGTCTCGGCCAGCCTGTCAGAGTTAGAACTTACCGCTTGCCCAACGTCCGCCGAACTGGTCGGACGATCGGGGCTGGCGCATACGGCAAATGTGGTTGAAGTCGCCATACCCGAGCCCTCTGCGCTGCCAAAAGTACACACGACTTTTTCCTAGATCCAGACAGACAACCCCCTGAAGGTCATCCATAAAGCGATGAGAGAATTTGTGAACGAATGCAGCGCATGAGTACTCACGCCACCGCACATCGTCCGTTTCTTGCGTATCGACCTTCCCGGGTCCAGGATACCGGCCTAGTCATGGAGAAGCTGGTTACGAGTCTTCACGATATTCTGGATCCCGAGCCGAAACCGACCAGTAAGCCCTATATTCTGTCGGCTGAAGTGGACGCATCCTTCACAATGTTGCCAGTGGTGTCTCGTTCATGCACAGGCCAAACGCCGCCTATAACCACCGAGATTTGTCGGCTAAAAACGTTCTCTTGACAGAGGGGCTGGTGGCCAAGATAGCGGACCTGGCATGGCTCGCATTGTGCCAGACTACAGGCTGCAGTTATGACAAAAACTCCAGGTGCTCCAATATACATTGCCTCCGGAGGCAGTGCAAGATAAGTCACTGTATGACATCACAATTGACATATTCTCTCTCGGTGTTCTGGCTCTTTTCACACTAGTCCCAAATGTTCCGTGATCCACTGTCAGCTACGTACGTGGACAGTAAAAGTGGTAAAGTTGTTGCGCCGGACTGAGTTAGAGCGACGCAGCCAATACATGCAGCGACGGTGTGGAAGCAATATCAAAGGGGCATCCCCTTATAAAAATGATCGAGGTTGGCTGAGGACAGTATTGAGGAGCGACCCAAAATTGACCAGATATAGGGTGGCTCACAGCAGGCCAGAGATGAAGCAAACGCGGACTTATCGATGGACACAAACCTGGTACTGCTACAAGCCTTGCAATCAAAACAGAGGAGCTGCTAGCCAAAGACGAGCATATCGCACTGAGAATTCCAGCAGAATGAAATTCAAAAAGAGTCAGCTTGACGTACCGTGGCACAGGTGTATTACTTGAAGTGGCAAGTTGAATCGTCTGCTCCAGCAGCCTCAAAGGGTATGCTTTTACAATGAGGACTTACAATAATTATGCATATATTACTGACTTGAAAACTGCATGCGCACAAACATGTCAGAGTTTGGTGTGTAGGTATTACACAAACAACATTTGAGCAGTAGGTGTATATTACCCACTTGTGCTCCCTCACTGAGAGTGTGTTTCACTGCTCTCTCGAGGTGTGTAGCTTACCTAATTGCCTGGTCACAGATGACAGATGCGCACATGGAGAAGTATCTGGGGTTTAGTACAGTGCATGTCTCAACAGCTGGTATAAAATCCTCATTCCATGCTAATTAACCATTTGTTAGCATTAGTCCAAGCCACAGCTGAAGTATTATGGAATGTCATAGATGACGTACTGACTATTAGAGCTACTGAGTCAAATATTTTGCTGGCATATAGCATAGGCAAATGATCGCATATACAAGTGAAAAAAACACTGAGGAGAATTGAGTGTCAAGGTTTGAAGTTTAATTTGTGACACTTGTTTATTGTCTCATGCACAGTGACAGTTAAAGTACTTGTTTTTCTATAGTGCTGTAATTTTGTCTTTTGCCACTATATTATCCTTGCACTACTGGCTGCTCAGCGTGCCTGTAGTGAACCCCTTGACCTAACTCTTAATTTTGCATTGAGGGTTTGCACTTTAGTGGTTATATGACTTAGCTAACACCCTGATACTAATAACGCTTTGGCATGCTCCAGCTCATGCAACCAACACTCTGAAAGTAGCACTGAATTAAACTTCGAGTGCTATTCGACTTAATCTCTCTGTCTATAACGCAACTTTGCCTCTGAGAGTGATGATGACTTTCCTGCTTTCACCTCAACAAGTCACAGAGGTTCTGCACGTCCTTGTAGAGCGTATAGGTTCCACAGTCCTGTGCATTTTTTACCTATATAGGACTGCTCAAAACTAACCTCTATTTTCATTGTGTTGTGCGCACCACAGTTAACACTTAACCATTTTTTTTATGGGTTATTATACTAGTCGCTAGTACTTTTATAATACATCAATTTCTGCTTATATTAAGCAGATGCACATGCCGTCCAAAGGGTTTACCTTCTACAATGTATCACCGTTCCCTATGCATAAATCACCATGTTCTTTCACTATGTGTGACGGTAGTGCAGAGAATATAGCTAGGTAAGTGTACACTGCATTGCGTAACTCATGATCTTGTACTGCTAAAATCTCCATACAGAGACTTCCTGTATCACGAGCTGAGAGAGACGTGCGAAATCTCAAGGGGTCGTGTTACTGGATTGAAGATGAAGCTAGCGACGTGTTCGAACAGGGAAGCAAGGTTTAAGATAATGTTAATACTCTTTTGGCATGCAGATACACTACAGGGAGTGTTACTGAGTATGTCTGTCTTCTGCTAACTCGCATCTCATATACACGCAAGCAATATTACTACTCGGTTGTTGAGTATAATTATATGAAACCTGTTTCCTCTAAACACACTTACCTAGTGCTAATCAATAAACCCAGTGCTGTTGCTGATGCAACTTGGATTCTATATATATATACACAGAGCTACCAACTGGTTGCATACCAGTGAACAAGCTCACCCAAACTGGTTTGAGTAGAGAATAGTGTGAAGAACATGTTGATGACACGTAATCATGAATTCAAGAGGTGAGGTGTACTGCAGTAAAATACAATTGTTTGGTTTTTGTAGTATTCGTGCACTACATCATGTGTCAGATAAATACATGTATGCACCTAACACATTCTTCTTGTTTACTCTGCTGCTTTAGCTTTCATTCTGCATCATCATCATCATTTCGTCTCCTTCCGGCGCTTTTCTCTCTTTGTTTTATTCTACCTCCACTTGCCTAACCAAAGATGCAATACTTTTTACCCAAGCTTAGCTTTCTCCTCTCTCTCCTAAATATCCCCTCTCTCCTCCTGTTCCTCCCACCTCTCTCCATTTGTGTCCCTCCCTCCATTTCCCCCCAGTTCTACCGGAAGCCTCTGCTGGCACGGACAACCACAAGTCAGGTCATTCTGGGCGAGAGAGACATCAACACCGTGTTCTACCGGACGGAGGACCTGGTAGACCTGCACACTGCCCTACACGAGAAACTGGAGCCTCAGTTGAGGGACTGGACTGTCAACACCTGCGTGGGGGACTTCTTTGTTGAACTGGTGAGAGAAAGAAAAACCCTGTTATCGAGAAGCTCTTGCAAACTACTTTATTACTGCAATACCATGGATATCCACGTGTGTTCTTAGTAGAAAGAGTGTCTACCTAGTGTCGTGTGGGTTCGAGTCTCACCCAATGTTGTATAGCTCTGCACATGCCTTACCATTTACATAGTGAAGACAATTTGTCATGAGACGATGTATGTACAGGTGCCTAATGGACATGTGTTCTTTAATAAGTGAGGGGTCAGTGTTAGTAGAGCAAGTGTGCCGGATGTGGATATAGAGGAAGACCTGTGACTGTGTGTGAGAGAGAGAGAGGCCCACTAATGACTGTCATTAGAGCAATCACAGCGCCAGCCCTGCCAACACTTCCCCCAACCCCTCACTCTCTGTGACAGTGTGTTTGGCCGACCATGTCTGGCCCAGGCCTACTCACCTTGGCATGATAACTGAAAACAGCGGTCAGGATTGGCACACACTACCATGTACTGTATGAGATTATAGTTGTATAGGCACATTGAAATTCCCTCCTTACAACTCTTTCTCTCTCCGTTCCTTCTTCCCTCCTGCCTCCATCCCTCCACACCATTCCTTTCCCCCTCTTTCCATCCTTTCTCGCTGCCTCTTCCACCCTCTCCCTCTCTCCTCCCTCCCACCCCCTCCTCTCACCACTCAGTGTAAGAACCTAAAGCTGTATAAAGACTATGTGGAGTTCTATCAACAATCTCTTCAAAGCCTCGAAAAGTTAAAGACGGAATCAGCTCCTTTCAGAACTTTTCTAGAGGTAATCAACCTATAATCTATTGCACGTTTAATGTATAAATGTACACTGAACATTACAATGTAGTATTTCGCAAAGGTGTGAGAGCATTATCTTGCAATAGGTTATGGTGTGCCATTCCCACTGGCCTACTGAACATTTTGCATTTGAGCATTGCACGATGTTATGCAGATGTGTACGGTTGTAGCTGAAAACATTGAGAGAGGGTTACCCAAGTGAAAAAAACAGTATACACACGTGCTGCAGTAATGCGTGTTTTGTGTTGGGAGAATTGAGTTGACAGGTCTTCACACCAGATTGTACACACATCACACACACACGCAATTCTGTTTGCTGTGTTTGTTTGTGTCCTCGAATAACGCAATGGTTTTTTCTTTCAGGATGTCCGAGCCACAGTCATGGCTCACTATAACGATGTTCCAAGAGTCAACGGTAGGTCCTCCATAGTCACTATGTACATACGGTCACAGAAATTCAGTTTGGAAGAGATACGTATATGTACAGGTGACCTTCTATTTATATGTATGATATCTGGTTTCAGAGCTTCTGAGGAGACCCATTGAAAGACTACAGAGCTACTCTCTCATCCTAAATGTGAGCATACAGCAATAGTTCACACACACAGACACACGACTCTGTGGGCCCTGAGTACATGGCCTTCTCCTGTAACGACTTGCTCGCATTAGCTATACTGGCACAGCTGCACCGGGTGCTGTATTTTCCTTGTAGGCTGATTGTGAAACCAAATATACTTTTCCCCCTCTTCCTTACCTCCCCATACTCCCTCCCTCCCTTCACTTGTGTCCTTCCCCACTCCCTCTCCCGCCCTCGTCCCTTCAGGATCTCTGTCAACACACCCCAGAAGACCACAAGGACTACAGTGTTCTGAGACAGTCGCTACATGTCATGTCGGCATTCATAGCCAGCACCCATGACCCCCAGTCCTTCAGCAAGGTCAGACATACATACATACATACATGTAGCAGCACCGTTCACCCTATATACCAATGTCTAGCAACGATTTCCCAAACAAGTGTTCTCATATACTGCATGGTGCGGATTGCGGAACTTTCAAGGAGAATATCAAATAATATTGTGGTTTCTGAGGCAACCGCACAAGTGAACTTGCATTTATGTGTACAGCAGAGGGCGTGGCCAAGGAGCCCACGGAAGTGTTTCTTACTTGTATTTGTGACAGGGTGTAGTGTGTTGTACATGTACAGTAGCGACATTTACAGTATGTGTACAGCAGAGGGCGTGGCCAAGGAGCCCACGGAAGTGTTTCTTACATGTATTTGTGACAGGGTGTAGTGTGTTGTACATGTATGTAACGACCCTTTAGGCATGTCTGCCAATCACATTCAGTACATCTATAATACATACATGTTGCATTCATATTACGTCGAGTATGTATGTATGTGTGTACACTTTCAACCTTTTTGTAATGAATTGCCCGTAAAGTGTTTGCGCCATGCACTAATGTGTACGATACACATAGCATGTACACATGTTATGCCAAGTTCCCATTGTACCACAGGTACACATGTATGTCCAATACTTAGAGTGTGCTCTATGTTAGGCAACTTACTGACATTCCACCCTGGAGGAATTGCACAATAATAGCCCAATTGGTAATGTACATATACATAGGGTGGAGTACTTCGGTACATACAAATTACTTGTGAGACATGTAGTTGTTTATATTGCCATGTGTATGAGCTGAGATGACGTAGTATTTCACTCTCATTTCGCTCCTTTCCAATCCCGTCTCCCTTCTCTTTCTTCCATTTGTCCCTCCTTCCTCTCCCTCTCCTCCCTCCCTCCCTCTCCTCCTCCCTCCCTCCCTCCCCTCCCTCCCTCTCCTCCCTCCCTCTCCTCCCTCCATCTCCTCCCTCCCTCCCTCTCCTCCCTCCCTCTCCTCCCTCCCTTCCTCTCCTCCCTCCCTCTCCTCCCTCCCTCCCTCTCCTCCCTCCCTCCTCTCCTCCCTCCCTTCCTCTCCTCCCTCCCTCTCCTCCCTCCCTCTCCTCCCTCCCTCCCTCTCCTCCCTCCCTTCCTCTCCTCCCTCCCTCCCTCTCCTCCAACCCACAGTTGAGTGGTGGCTATAACCGAGAACTGGTAAAGGAAGGACTAATGGTGGAACTCTCGGAGGGCATCCGGAAGGTCCGCAGAGTCTTTCTCTTCCACGACGTCGTCGTCTCCTCAAAACAAAAGCCCACGAGAGCTGGCGTGAAGTTTGAGCCCAAGTGGTACCTCCCACTGGCCGAGCTGTCATTCCACCCTCCCGAGGAGAGCCCTGAAGGTATGTTGCTGTCACACCCGACGCTGAATACATGGTGTTGTTTGTTGAGCGTTTCATGGCTCGTGAAGTGAGATGTCGTGCGGACAAACAGACACACACACGACAACTACCATAACCCTCGCTGCACATGCGTGCCGAGGGTTAATAAGCAGTGTGTGGTTTATGCCGTTGAATTGACCTGCCCACCACCCGTACCCCTCTCCTCCTCCCCCTCCCCTCTTCCTCTCCGTCCAGCCCACCGCCCCGTGCCGGCCACCAGTGACATGGACCTCAGCGTCATGAGGAACAGGATCGCTGAGCTAAAGGCTCAGATCGGGAAGGAGAACACTCGAGATCGCTCCGGCTCTCAGCCCGAGAGAGAAGGCTCCTTCGTAAGTCCTCAGCAGTAACTACTACTAGTACCCTGTGACCGAGGACACAATCAAAGTGCCAACCTTATTCTTCATTGAACGTGCAATCATGTTACACTGCTGCTAAGTACTTAAAGAGTTTTGCTAAGGGCAATTTGGTAAAGCCAAAGTTCCATGGAAATTCAGATTGCATTGACCTTATAAAGATGCACCTTATAACATATTTCGTGACTTAACAAGGAACCTTTCTTGCCTAATAGGCATACGTATGTAAGTATGTTGCCCTTTGTATTATATACCACAGAGGAAGGGCAGAGGAGGGATCAGAGGGATCTACACCATGAAGTCCACCAGAGCAGTTGAGAGGACCAAGAAGAAGCTCCAGGAGCAGCAGGTGTCCTACTGGATGGCCGTCCCCAGCCTCCCTCTGAGACTCTATGGAGACAACGGGAAGGTACAGATAGCACTCATGCATACATGTGTAGTGTTGTATTGTAGCCATGTGTAGTGTTGTATTGTAGTGTTGTAGTGTTGTATTGTATGGCGAGCAAAGTGAGCCTAACTAAACGACTGCATTTTGCACTTTTTTCCTACCCGGCTCTGGGCAATGTACATACCGTAATGATTAACCGTAATTCTGAATATGCATGTAGAGCCGCTGTATGTAAATCCTCGTATTTCCTCCCTCGTCCTCTGCAGCAGCAGTACATGTTTCTACTGCACAGTGAACAGGAGAGAGAGAGCTGGATATCCAGCATCAAGAAACTACAACCCAAAGGTGAGGTGTTTCACTTGGTTGGTTGGTTTGTTCGTTGGAGTGAAGTGTATACAGTATGTTCATGTGGATTGTTTAATGTTTACACGTTGACTAAGAATGTACTATGTTCAGTCTTGCTACCGGATTTCTCTCCTGCACCATTATTTTATCGCTGGCCTATCTCCTTATCTCCACCTCTCTCCCTCTCTCTTCTTCTCTCTCCCCTCCCTCCCTCCCTCCCTCCCCTCTCAGCTGTCAGGTCGGTATCATTCAATCCCCTGGAGCTACAAGACCTTCTCAACCGTCAGACTATCTCCGAACTGAGGAAGATTGAGGAGGTTACACAGCCTGTGCTAGGTATGCCTCTATCCCTCCATCCTTCTTCCTTCCTTTAAATCTTACCCTTTCCTTTTTCCAATCTCTTTTCATTCTTCCTTCCTTCCTTCCTTTTAAATCTTACTCCTACCTTTTTCCAATCTCCTTCCTTCCCCCATGTCCATCTTTCCCTTCTTCCACTCTCCTTCTCTTTCAAACCACCAAACCCATCATAATTGTAGCTATTGACTTGTAACAGTACCATTTCTTTCTCGTACTTCGACAGACCGTTGAATGCACAGTGCATTGTAGATCTACATTTGCATGTAATACTAATTTGCTAAATTTTTTCACCTGTGTCATGTATAGTCACGTTTGCCCTTTGTCTCTCCTCTGCTGCTGCAGACGATGAATATCTCAGTGGAATGTTGAGAATTAGGATAATGAGTGCTACTGACATCAAGGCCAAGACTGGTACGTACATATCTTTCTATGATTTTGTATGATCTGTACGTCACTATAATGTTAGCGAAATGTATTGAGGTGTATAAATAGATAGTCTTATGTCTTGTGTGTATGTAACGCACCCTCTCTTCATTAGACATGGCAATTAGTGTAATAGAGCGAGTTATGTGTATTACCAGCCAAGTTTGTGTTTCCTGGTGACCGGGTTCTGTTAGAAAAGGCATGTACGCAAGGAAGCTAAAATGTCATGCCATATGTAGGTGTGCGTATAATCCTCACTCCTTGTAGTCCGTATGTGTATCAGTTGTAGAAGGTATTTTGCTGGTATGTATAATATCCGACGCCTGAGGGTGCATACTGAGTTAGTTGGTCTATCATCCTCTCTGTCATCATGACACTGCGGTGTATAGCTACTCTACATACATAGTTATGTATCTCCCTGTGGTATTGTATTGTACAGGTGGTATATACTGTGCGGTGGAGTTGGATGAATATGGTAAGTTTGAGAGGAAGGCCAAGACTCTCCCAGTCCAAAAATCGATGCCACCACTCTCGGAGCCACTTGGGACCAGGTATGCCGTGTAGCACTGCATGACTCCACTATTGGCGAGCTGAGCGAGCCTACCTAGTCGCTTGAATGCGAGAATTTTCTAAATATATTATGTGGCGGGCACTGCATCTACCGTAATGATCGTACAAAACATACGCGAAATATTGAACTTTTCGCTCAGCTCACCAATAATGTGTTGCATTATCTAGTAGCCTCATTTTTGTCATTGATGTAGATACGTATAGTGCCTCACTCTTTGCAGTGCTTTGACTAAACATCATACTGTACAATGTTCTTTCTGTGCGCTAATGCTAGACGTCTAATGAGGCATTTATGTTATCAGGCTTTAAATGTGTAAAATACTAATGTATATCACCCCCGTGATTTTGGTGGGAGTTTGCAGGATGCTTAAATACTTTAGTTTTTTCTTTCCTCAATCTCCCTCTCATTGGTCGACTGTTTGTTGTTGCTTTTGCACACAGGATTTTGAACTGGAGGTGACTGGTGCTCACATCATAAAGGTCAACATCTTCAGCAAACAGCTCCTCAAGGAAGAGACCCATGCCCACGGCAAGATTAGGGTGAGTCACATCACCACCACCTCTCCTGTTTTGTATCGCACTTTATTGGTAAGAAACAAAGTCAGTGTACCTAGTACTCCGAGTTCAACACGATTTTCTGCATCAGACACGTTACAGTGCATGTGGGAATCTCACTAAAGTGGTTGAAATGTACTTCTCTATACACTACTTGCTTGCATTCGCTTGCCATTACTTGTATTGTAAGAGTCAAGCATTCATTTACCCCCTCCCCCCCTCCCCTCCCCTCCCCTCCCCTTCCCTCCCTCCCTCCCTCCCTCCCTCCCTCCCTCCCTCCCTCCCTCATTCCATGTCCCCACAGCTCCCGATTCACGAGCTACGCAGCAACAAGAGACACAAGACTGAGATCACGCTCTACCCACAGGGCTCTCTCCAGATCATCATAGAATACTCGTCCAGTGCAGTTCGCGACAGAAAGCCGGCTCTCATGAGTTCTGGGGTCTTTGGAGTGCCCATTGAAATTGTTTCAAAGTCAGTCCCCTACCTTCTGCTAGACTATGTGTGTGATAGCGTTACAGTATAATTTTAATTTCATGTTATGTGCATAGTTGCATAGTTAAGGGGTTTATTAACCCTCGGCGCGCATGCGCAGCGAGGGTTACGGTAGTTGGGTCTGTGTGTCTGTCTGTCTGTCTGTCTGTTACTCGTCATCTCAATTCTCGAGTGTTCGTTCGTCTCACAAAGGATACCACCTACTGAACGGGCAATGAAGGTCAGAAATTTTGAACGGTTTTCTCTGAAAATGCTCCGTTGCAAAGCTAGGGCGCGAAAAAGCCAATATGCAAATACACAACGGCTTACTACGGCATGATCAATCCGCGTGCTCTGCGTACCTCGGAGGCACCAGAAGATGCAACGCAGGGCGTGTATCGCCTCTCGCATGCTATCTAGTAGTGTAGTTAGCCCGCGTCAGACTCTGCGCGAGCTGGCAAGAGACCACGAGTAACAGCTAAAACTAAACCCAGCCCACCAATTAGTGGTACGGCGCATGCATTTACTTACGCGTGCGCGTCACAGTGCGCCGAGGGTTTGCACTTCAGTGCTTTTCATATTGTCCCATAAATGCTGATTTAATGTCCAAAGGGATGACTGGTTTGACGTGCTACCAACACATGTATGAACTGTAGTGTTTAGTGATAACATGTTGTGCTATTATGATATGTTTTGTATGTACCCCGACTGCAGGAGAGAGAGACACGACATTCCACTGATTGTAGAGACGTGTGTGGAGGAAGTGGAGAGAAGAGGTAAGTATATATATAAACCGCTGAACTCTTCTGTGATGTAGAGTATACTGTGTTGGTGCATCCTAGCAGGGAATACCGTATGTGTAGTTGGAAGCTTGCAAGGGAAGAAATTTGATGAGAAAATCTTTTCAGAGAAATCCTTTCTCCACGGAAAGTTTATGCGTGAATATGAACCGCTCACCACAGATGCGTTGCATTCGTTTCGGGACAAAAAAAGTGAACTACTCGCAAGTAGAAAGCCTCGTGCCACGGGGGTAGCGGAAAAAGTTTGTACAGAGCCCATCAGGTCTTAAGTACTAAATGTCCCCTCCCTCCCTCCCCCCACCAGGAATGTCAGAGGTTGGGGTGTACAGAGTGGCAGGTGTCCTGAGGGACGTGAAGGAGCTGAGGGAAGCCTTCGACACAGACTACCTCAAGGCTCAGGTCATTGCGTTCGAGGCCGACATCCACGCCGTCGCTGGACTGCTGAAGAAGTATTTCAGGGAGCTTCCGGATCCGCTCTTCACCGACGGACTCTATCTCAGCTTTGTGGACGGAATGGGTAGGAGTCACCTTCATTAGTACAACATCCATTCTGTGACATACTGTACGCCATTATACAGTGGAACCCTCTCTAAGGACCCCCCCCCCTAGAATGATGCCAACTATATATACAAACTCCTTGCTTTCCCCAGCAAGAAAAGTTTCTTGTGTGTAATTTTAACCCCAAAATGTCTCTCTAATATGCACACTTCTTTCAGTCCCATTGGAGTTCGGATTATAGAGGGGTGCCACTACTGTTGAAGGAGTAGTAGTAGTTTCATGCTTTACGTAATTTTTAGTAAATCCACAGAAATTTCACACTCGTGTTTGCTCGCCAAAAGTGCATTCGTTCTAGCTTGCCCCTTTGGTTACCAGTTTGACAAGGCTCATGCTTCGTATGTGCACAGATCTACTGACTCCTATGTATACTATGTGTGTACAACGAGGTATAAAAACAAAGGCAAACAGAACGACACAACCTGTTTGATGTTTGTGTCCCAGGTCTGTCAGAGCCCGAGGCCAGAGAGCAGGCTCTGGTTACCCTCCTCTACTCCCTGCCTCCAGTCAACTTCAAGACTGCCGTCTTCCTCTTCAGACACCTCAGAAGGTAAACCCACCAACGCCAGCAACTCCACAGTACACATTATCTGAGGAAATATGTTCAGTAATAGTATGTCAGGAGCAGCTTCAGTGAGTGATTTTTTTAACACACACATAGTACAACTCAATCCTCCTTGACTTGACTCTTTACATTACACAATTTCTTATGCTCTCTACTGAATTTATGTTATGCTATGCACGCATTTTTGTCACACGCGCCAACCCAGAATTGCGGCCAACTCGAAGGAGAACAAGATGAACCTCAATAACCTGGCCACCGTGTTTGGTCCAAACCTCCTTCGCCCCGCACCGATCGGAACGGAGGAATCCTTTCTCAACATGGCCGCCGTGGACGTAGCCACGCCTGTCAACGTCCTCATGTTCTTCCTCAGCTGTCCCGAGGAGATCCTGGACGAGGCCCAAATCTCCACCTCTCCCTCCTCGACGGCGTCCACCGGTCGAGGGAGATCGCGGAGAGACAGTCGCAAGAAACTGACGTGGATCGAGGAAGAAGATGGGGGAGGAGGGAGACAGATCAGAACATCCAGAAGAAGTTCAGGAAGAACCTCTCAGACATAGTATTAGTAATCATCATGTTATTGTAATGCTACAGAGATAGTGTGTGTGTATGTGTATGTATGTAAACCCAGTCAGTGTGTTGTCCGTGCATTATCGCAGCACTTTATACTACAATTTCAATAACGTTATATATATATACACTTTTCACTCTGTATGTGTGTGTTTGTTTGTGTTGTTGTTTGTGTTGTTGTTTGGGATATTGTGTGTGTGTACATTCACGTGAGGATCTCCTGCACTGAGTTCTTTCTTGTATGTGTGGATTCTGTTCTTCAAAACAATACTGTCAGCTATATACTGTTGCTCTAACAATTCGCCATCAATTTAATTTTTGACTTCAGAATCTCACTGATGCAATAATGGCCACCACTTCCTAAAGTCCGTCTTTACAGCGTTTTTAAAGTTATGGCGTGAAAACCAAGTCAACAAGCCAATATGCTAATTAGCACAGGCTTACCCCGACCGGGTCTGCTCGCTCTGCGTATCTTGAAGGCACAAGAAGTCACAACGAAGGGCGCGCGTGTATCGACTCCCGCATGCTATCTTATATATATACTGTCGCCAGACTCTGCTAGCTAGCAAGCGTGGTATGGGCTGGGCACATGCGCAGTTTGCAGAGGGTTTGCACTTCAGCACTTTTCGTAAAGTATGGGCAGTAGGAATTCATCCAGACGACTGAGTAGGCTCACTTCTTTCACCAACAATCATTAAAATAATTATAGTTCATGTGCTTGCGTAATATACAGCGTGAGGGTAATAAAGTCTTCGTACATGTGTGTGTTTGGGCAAATATCCTATAATTACAAAAATACCTATAAAAGATTGTCTTCCATTCGTCTGTGCTCCATAGGCATTAGTCTACTGTTTTAAACACTTGGAAAGGACGCAGTGACTTGAATTTTTCGCCTGGCTTTGCCATTTGGTTCAGGTAAAGCCTCACTTGGTTAAACGTACCTGGCGTTAGTTGAAGCCAACATTCATGCTCTAGAACACATGCAATAAGCCCTGCGGCCACCGGTGCTGCCATGGAGGTACCACTGAAAGTGCCGAACGCTACATTGGAATCAATTGCGGCGGCGCAGACAGCCTCACCAAAGGTGGTGTAGTCAATGTCGTCGTTATTCTCGGGGTTAGCAGCACACGGTGCCAGCTTAAAAACAGCGTCGTGTGATCCAATGGAAAAAACCTTGGGATACCTTGCTGGGAATGGCACTTTTGTTCCTGGAGTGTCTCCCATGTTTCCAGCAGCCGCAACACAAATGATGCCTAAATCAGTCAAGTCGTCAATGTATTTCTTTAGCTCTTTAGAGTCAGTTTCGAACCCAAACGACATTGAAACAACATGTGTGGTCACCCTTTCTTGCTCGTGAAGTTCTTTGATATACTTGAGAGCTTCGATAACTTTGTTAACGGTGTATTTCCTGAATTTGGTAACTTTGCATATAAGCAGGGAAGCCTCTGAAGCAACTCCACCATCATAATCTTCTCCTGTTTTGCCACTGTTTCCAGCAGCTATTGCGGCGCAGTTTGTTCCGTGTCCATACCTATCAATGATGTCATTGTCATCCGTAAAGTCCTTTGATTCGGGAAGTATCTTGGGTTTTGGTCGAGAGATGTCTGACTTGAATGAAATATGCTCCTTTTTTATACCACTGTCCACTATCGCTATAACAAACTCGGAAGCATGTTTTCGTACCAGCTTTTTCTCTGCTCGGTGCCAAACCTGCCACGGATAGGCCCCAATATTATTGTTTTCCAGTTTGATTTGATCAGAAGAGCCAACCTTTATTCCTGATATGCCTAAATAACAGTATAGTTGCAAGTCAAACACAATGGATTGCAAAGGGAGAATAACTGAGCGTTCAATGTTGTGAAAGTAAATAGTGCGTGTGAATGCCGTTAACTTACTTCTAAACACCAAGTAGAAGACGGTCAGTATTCCAACTATTGCTGAAACTATTACTGAAAGAGCCAAGATCATCCAATTTTCTTGGAAGAATGATTGGTTCTCGTGTTCTGGTGTTGGACTTGCTCTACTCATTGTTGAGTGTGTGGGCTGGTTTTCTTCGAGGACACTTGGTTCACTCAAATCCGATGTACCACTCTCTAGGAAGAGATATAATAGTCACATGCATAGTGCAGAATCTGGGATTATGGCGTAGATATACCTGTATAAGTGCACATTTCTCTTAGCTTGCTGGCTTCGTATTTGCGAGGGTCTGGGAGCATTTCAAGAGCACTGGCAATTTTCTGTATAGTCTCACAGCACGACTCAGCTGTTTGAGCATTTATAAACCTTTTAAAGACTTCCCTTAACCTGCACGGAACAGGGTTCTTGTCGTTCTGGCAGGTGCCATAGATGGAGTTTGTTTGGGTGAGGTTCAGTTGGTCAGCTAGATCTTCCCAGGGTACATCATTCAGTATACCTACTATCTTGTTTCTTTGATGGCCTGTTAGAGTAGATTTATGGTTGAGTGTGGTATAATAATAAGCATGAGCCTAGATAACTTTCATGGTAGCTAGTCCAACTTCCCAGCGCTTGGAATATTATACTGAGCTGTGGGCTGACAGGTCCTTATCGCAACATCTAGCGCTAGCGTAGTGCAAATTGTCTGGCTTCCAAAGGTTTACACGACAATCCACATTCACAAACCCTCGGCACACTACGCATGCGCGGTATCGCGAGGAAAGTCTGACACCGGGAGTCGATCGCCCTCTGTTGTAACTTCTTGTGCCTCCAAGGTACGCGGAGTAGGCAAATCAGTTCGAGGTAAGCCAGCGGATTATGCATATTGGCTTTTTCGCTTGTTTTCACGGCATATCTCTCGAACGCAGTCGTTTCTTCGCGGTTCTGTATCGCTCATTGGCCACCTCGTAGCCGGTATACGTCGACACGAAAACTACTGTAAACCCTCGCTGTGCATGCGCGCCTTGGGTTAATTATCAGAACCGGTAAGGTAAATGGGGGTAACTCCGGACGCGGAGGTAACTCCGGACATGGGGCGGCCTCGAAATTATGCTCTGCGAAAAAAAACGCGAGGAAGATTTGTTAGCGCTTTGGCAGGTAGTAATCAAGTGAAATATATCCGAATCTTTCTCTTGTTTCTGAATAGCGAGTTGTGTCCGGGTATTACCCCGTGTCCGAAGTTACCCCCATTTATATACGTGCGCGTGTACGTGCGCGCGTATACGTTTGGCAGGATGACGCAGCCAGCACGTCAGCGCGTATATACTGGTCTGTCGGCCTCGGAGTCGAGTATACCCTGTACCGCCTCGCCGCCTATCGTTAACTACTTAGTAAAAAGTGTATAAAAGAAAAGGGGCGAAACAATCACTAAACAAACAGGTGACAGTGCATGCCGAAACAGAGAAGATAGCTATTGACCGTAGGTACTACATTAGCGCAGCTTATGCCTACCGTACCCTCCCATGACTCACATCTAAATCTGCGAGGTCATCGCGTGACTCATCACCGAAGTGGACACCCCCATGCCCACTAAGGGTCCATACAAAGTGCCCCTTCCCGCCGGGCTATAGGCAACAGACCAGGCGGACCGCACGAGCGTGGCACGTAGCTAGACGTAGTCACCTGAGCATTCGTCGCTAGAAGCCGGGGGTGAAGAGAGAATTGGCAGAAGTAAACACACAATAGCAAACGCTGACGACTGCCGGAAGTTCACCATTTTTACCTATAGTGGATTCGTATAGTTGTGTTAGCTACACCACTAAACGCGCCCCTAAACCTCACGCTCGCGCAGTTCAGGCGCGTATAGCTAATTTGATCTGGTTTGTTCAGTGAGGGGAGAATGAGCTGCATCCACCCTTCCCCCCTCATGTCCTCAAGCACACCCATTCTGTAGCTGGAAATGCTAAGCAATTGTAAAAATCAGCATATTATATACAGTGCAGTGGTTTATGAAGGAGAAGTGTGCACATCTCTGGCATTGCACATTTGCTTTTTACTCAAGTGGGGCTAGCAAATACATGCTGAGCTGGTGCACAGACAGTGGCAATTATTATAACACACACAAGGAACAAAAGGTAAAAGAACTTGCACGATGTATATACTGTACATCAAAAAGCAAAACTTACACAGATTAGAGGTAAAGTAATAAACTAAGGTGTCCAGGTGTAACAAACAAAAGGTGTCCAGGTGCAGATGTTTAATCAAAACAGCCTCGTTTGGCAACCTGAGTCAGTGTTCCAGCAATCCCCTTGACCTCCTTCTTGAGCGCCTTCACCTCCGCCTCCAGCCTGCCCACCCTCTCTCTCATGTCATCATCGGAGTCAGAGGACGACTCAGTCAAGGTCAACTCTCCAATGGCTGGTGGAAATTGGACGCCGTCCACTGCTATTACCAACTGTTCCACGAAAGACAGCACCTGCAGCAGGTTGTCCATGGCATATTTCAATATATTCACGGTCACTCGGCTATGTCTCTCCTGCGCCTCAACAAGGTGCAGATAAGCCTTGTCGGCGACAAACCCTACAAGCCAGACATCTTGCATTTGCCTGCACACCTGCATCGTTGGTACAGCCCTTCCCCGTCTCCCTTCACCTCCCCATATCCCCAAAACCTCACCCACAAGGCCCTGGAGCTCAAAATCCACAACCCCTGTGACCGGCCCTTCATTCTTGGCACACCAGTCCGTCTTAGTGGATGCCTTTGGGTACCGGCAGTTCCTGCCGGTAGTTCTTGCTCTGTCCGGTCTTAGCTTCAAGAGCTCGTACACGAAGAAATTCCCAGAACCGCTGCTGTACCGTCGGGCGTGGCAAAATTTCCAAAGATGTCCCGAAGGGCGGGTGTTGACCGGGGGAGCTTCTGGTATTACCTACCTGGAGGCACATGCGGAGTATTACACTCTACATGCTCCACACATTCTCCTCGTCATAACGCTATAGCTAAAGTTGCAACGAAGCGCGCGTTTCAAGCATGTGCAGTGCTAGCACCCAGGCCCTTCTTCGGAGCTAGTGCAGTTGCGACTAGGTGAGCTCGCTTCGTCCGCACTAAGAAGCATGATCATACGCACGCCACACTAGCGCTGCGCTGAGAGAGAGAGGGTTTCAAACGTTTTCACGAGGCGCATGCGCGCAAAACGACAAAAAGGGGGTTCCGCGGAACGGATCCGCCACTGTTCATTAAGCTCACACGCCCACAGCGCGCGCGGCGACCATCATCGTGCGCGCATGCGTACCACAGCAGTCGACTAGATAGAGAGACGCAAGATGGGTTCAGCTTTTCCTAACAGTACTTTTTATGACGATGGATGTCGTGTCGATTGCCACATGGAAACAAATGAGGTCGGAAACTCAGTGCGTAAACCCACCTATTCAAATACCCTAAAACGTGCAGAGAGTAGGATTTGACGTGGTGGCGGTACTGAGGCTCGTCATGTCTTCCTTGAGGTACATTTTGAAACACTGCGCGCGCATCTAGCACTATCCTGTGGCTCAACTTCTTGCAGTATCGTTGGAGCACTGTCAATTGTCGGTTCAGCTGTGCACAGAAAAACCGTTTGTAACCCAAAAGTAATAGCTAGATGCAAAGAAGTTGTTAGCTACTGTCTGCTGTTATCTGTCCAGGTCCACCCAATATTTGTCCTGTCAATCGTGGACACTCTGCTAAGTGCACTGTGGATCAGTGGAGCACTGGTGTGGCTGAAAGGAGGTGTTCAACATCATCGAGTTGGCTGCTTTACCATCACATGCATGACCGTTGTGAGCTATACTCTCCAATAGCAGCTGAGCTACATATACGCCTATTATTATTAGCCATTTTCACTTCACAGAATGTTTGTGTTTACTAATATTGAAAGTGGTGTATCCCAAAACTAACACACACACACACAGATTCTTCAATGTGTTGCTATGAATGTGACCCTCATCTATGCCCTCTTGGCCTACTCCAGTATAAAACAGAGAGATTTCAGTGGTGTCTATGTGAGCAATAGCGCATAGCAGCAGAGCTGCAGTTCCTCTTGCAATTCAACAGCAGTATTCTTTGCATATCCAGATGGTTCAAAACACAAAGCTCTCAACCCATATATGGCCTCCTCTCTGCTCTTTCACTGCCTACTTCATTGCCTGGTATATAAATGCCATTATGCTTCTCCCTCCATGACCATCATTATCATAATTAACCCTCGGCGCGCATGCGCAGCGAGGGTTACGGTAGTTGTCCCGTAAGTGTGTCTGTCAGTCTGTCAGTCCGTCAGTCCGTCTGTCTGTTACCACGTTTTCTGCCACCGCGCGCACGAAATCAGGTAAATACCGATATGATCGGGTTCAGTGCTACACTGGGTTGATTTTAAAAAAGGCGATTTTCGTAAAACTACTGTGTTTTAAAGTTATGGCGTGAAAACCAAGTGAACAAGCCAATTGTAAATTAGCACAGGCTTACCTCGACCGCGTCCGTTCGCTCTGTGTGTCTTGAAGGCACAACAAGTCACAACGAAGGGCATGTATCGACTCCCGCATGCTATTTACTACTGTAGCTAGCCCGTACCAGACTCTCCGCGAGCTACTATCGGGATACCACGAGTAAAGGCATAAAAAGCCCAGCCCATCAATTAGTGTTACCGCACATGCGCAGTTCGCCGAGGGTTTGCACTTTAATGCTTTTCATTATTGTAGGACTCTTCCTATTGCTCTCATCATGATTCCATTTGGAGTTATAGCTCATAAGTACAAGATTGTCGACAAGGCCGACAACTGCTCGTGCTGGTATATACATAAAAGCCCAACAATAGCACTGTACTGTATATCCATCGTGCCCTTGCTGTATCACTTCAGGTGTTTGCCGTTTTATGGGAATGTTCTTCCTCGAGCTAAGCTAGGTCTTCATAATAATGTGAGAAGTTTTCTTAAAGTGATTTTGTTTTTTGTCAGCAACCTTTCCCTGCAGGTGGAAGGAAACATGTACTTGCAACAACTACACTACTTCATTGCATCTTATGCTACAGTCCTTACTGTCAACTTTGTTGTTGTGCTCTGCTGTATGGGTGTGACGTATTACAAGATATTTCGTCGGATAAAACGAATGATACTAACACAAGGTAGTGTCTGACATTGCCATGCAGGGCATCCCATTTTAAAGGAGGCTTTGTCCCTCAATCTTTCCTTAACAACGTTGGACTCATATTAGCACATCCAAGTGGCGTCCACCAACAAAAGCATAATTGCATACTAAACTAACATAATGCAGTATAGGACTTTGATGTGCAAGTAATATCAATCGTGATTTTATTCCTCAGAGAATAATGAGAACACTCCTCTCTATGGAGCCACTCGTGCCATGATTCTGGCTGGACAGAAAGATGCAAAGAAGAGAGTTTTCCTCTTTTTCTCTGTTTTCTTTGTTACAGGATTCGTCAGTGAGTTATTCTACATTAAATTTCAGTGTGACATTATGTATCTTATCACAGTTTCTGTGTTTGGAATATTTACATTTAATATCTTCATGTTGAAACACCATAATAAGCACACAGCAAGGATATTCATCTTTATCTCCCTTATCTTTGAGGTATATTATTATTCTCACATTTTAAAACTTTTTTTAATGTAGCTCTTACTTAGCACTGTCGCCACAGTTATGCCCCTATGCCGTTTAGCCATACCTTTTATTGTCATAATAATTATTACCCCTCTTTGAATTTTGCTCTTGTGAAACTAACAATGTCATTAGTAGCTACTAGCAACCCTGGAGTTATGTGCTACTAGCACTTATGTGCTCAGTCAAAAAACTGATGTTTTTTTGCATGTATATAGGCATTATTTGTACCATCTCAAGGATTTATGAATGCCCTGGCGTATGGCTGGACTCGTGGAGATTTCCTGAGTGTAATGACCACACGGCGATACAACAGGACACTGGCTGACTCTGTTGGCGCCTCATATGAAGGGATGGAAGAGGAGGAGAGAGAGGTGGAGGATGAGAGAGAGGACTGGGAGAGGGGGTTCCACCCAGAGAACTCCCTCCTCTTCTCCTCTAGTAACTCAACAGTAGAGGGAACATAATAGTAGTTTTCTGCAAAATAAAACTATGCTATAATACTTTACGAATGAAAAGCACTGAAGTGCAAACCCTCGGCGCATTGTGACGCGCACGCGTAAGTAAACGTATGCGCTGTAGCCTACCACTAATTGATGGGCTGGGTTTAGTTTTAGCTGTTACTCGTGGTCTCTTGCAGGCTCGCGCAGAGTCTGACGCGGGCTAACTACACTACTAGATAGCATACGAGAGGCGATACACGCCCTGCGTTGCATCTTCTGGTGCCTCCGAGGTACGCAGAGCACGCGGATCGATCAGACCGCGGTAAGCCATCCCGTCCGTTGCGTATTTGCATATTGGCTTTTTCGCGCTCTAGCTTTGCAACGCTGCATTTTCAGAGAAAACCGCCTTTATTTTCTGACCTTCGTCGCCCGTTGGGTAGATGGTATCGTTTCTGGGACGAACAGACGTTCGATATAGAGTAACAGATAGACAGACAGACAGACAGACACACAGGACAATGAAAAGCACTAAAGTGCAAACCCTCGGCGAAGTATATAGCTCGCAGAGAGTCTGACACGGGCTAGCTACAGTAGTAGAGAGTCGATACACGCCATTCGTTGTGACTTCTTGTGCCTTCAAGATAGACAGAGCAAGCGGACCCGGTCGAGGCAAGCCTGTGCTAAATATAAGCGCATGCGCATTATCCGCCAGCGATAAAATGGCGACTACCGGCATTAGCCATACAATGCTGGAAGCGCTCTAGCTCTGCAACGGAGCATTTTCAGAGAAAACCCCACATATTTTCTGACCTTCGTCGCCCGTTGGGTAGATGGTATCCTTTGTGAGACGAACAAACACTCGAGAAGTGAGATTGAGAGTAACAGACAGACAGACAAACCCAACTACAGTAACCCTCGCTGCGCATGCGCGCCGAGGGTTAACTACAGTACCCTCGCTGCGCATGCGCGCCGAGGGTAATTACTGTACCCTCGCTGCGCATGCGCGCCGAGGGTAATGATCAATATTGAATGGCATATCTTGAGTGACTCCGCACAGGGAAGGCCGGCGTTTGAGTTCCTGTATAGCTAGCTAAGGTATATATATTTATTCGCACCCTACAAACAATTCTCGCGTATAGCTACCGCGACTTTATAACTAAAGTCATCGTCTTGCTGTATTCTAGGCATCCGCCAATGTCGTGCGTCTTACTGACCATATTTAGCTAACCTTGAACCTGCATGGTCGTTATTTTTGCAAATGCCGCCCCGCGTACGCCCTTCCCTGCGCTAAACCGCTAGTGAACAAGCCGCGGAGAATCAGACAGAATGGAATATACTTCTAACAACAACTCTTTAGAGGAAGGATGTCATATTAAGTGCCACATGGAAGCAAATGAGGTTAGAAAACTACCACTGTGACCCTACACTAACTTAGCTGTATTTAGAGAGGAGAGTTTGACGTGGTGGCGGCACTAAGGCTCATTACGTCTTCCTTGAGGTAAGCATGCACCACGCATTTAAGCGCTAAAAACGATGTATTTGTTATCATGTGCAGTATCACTGGGGCACTATCCATCGTTGCTTCGGTTGTGTACCGAAAAACTGTCTGCAATCCAAAAGTATGACCCAAAACTGTTTGTGATGCAGCCATCGTTCAACGAGTCCTCCAGGTCCACCCCATATTTGTCCTGTCAATTGTGGACACTCTGCTGAGTGCACTGTGGATCAGTGGAGCACTGGTGTGGCTGAAAGGAGGTGTTGAACATCATCCTCGTCTAAGAGTTGGCTGCTTTACCATCACATGCATGACTGTTGTGAGCTAATATCATTGTCCAAAACAATAGCTACGAGCTTTCCCAAATGAACAGATTCTTCAATGTGTTGCTATGAACGTGACCCTCATCTATGCCCTCCTGGCCTACTCCAGTATCAAACAGAGAGATTTCAGTGGTGTATATGTGAGCAATAACACGTATAGGTTAACGTCTGGTTCTGAAGCGGTACCGGCGATATCACCGAAGCTGTTTACTCTAGCACCCGAGGGCGGAGCCCGAGGGCGGTAGAGTAAACAGCTGAGTGTATATACCGCTGAAGGTAACCAAGGCGTTAACCAATTTGTAGCCTAGCAACCGTACAACAACCATTATACATTTTGCCAGGGTTGTGAGAGAAATCGGTGGGCGAGACGAGGGAAAGGAGGCCGAGAGCATGCTTGCGTGAGCCCATGCTGCCTGTCGACCGTTTGTTCGAGCGAGTATATAGAGTAAGCCACCGATAATCGGACGCCATATATTCTCGGACGCATTTGTGAAGTCTGTGCAAGACTAGATTGGCTACTGTGTTTACCAATATGTAGTTCTTGGTCATAAACTGTTGTATAAAAATATTCGCTCTTATCCGAGCTTTACCGTGGGAATGACGTTGCCGTAAAGTTACGATTCGGGCACAGCAAAGATCGGACAAGCGCATCAATGGTAGGACAGTCTCCCAAAACGGGAACAGTATGAATGATCCAAGCGAGTGTATGCTCGATTGATAGCTGTACCTTTTGGCTATGCAGCGACCCACAAATGGCCCTTTTTTGTCTTCGCTCTTTTTGCTCACGAAAGCGCAAATAGGCGGGGTCTCGTAAGCCGCGTTTTACGCGAAAAGCAGTTCGCGGCTTGTTTCTTCTAACGCACGTGCCGGATGAAGCTCTAAATTTTTATTCTCGTTCTTCTTGCCTTATACTAGATGCTTGCACCACGATTTCCGTTTTTGTGAGATCTAACTTTTTATTGGTAATTACAAAAAAAATAATTATTGGTAATTACAAAAAATTAAAATCTTACAAAAACGGAAATCGTGGTGCAGGCATCTAATATAAGGCAAGAAGCACGAGGAGAAAATTTATAGCTTCATCCGGCGGGTGTGTTAGAAGAAACAAGCCGAAAACTGCTTTTCACGTAAAACGCGGCTTACGAGACCCCGCCTATTTGCGCTTTCGTGAGCAAAAAGAGCGAAGACAAAAAAGGGCCATTTGTGGGTCGCTGCATAGCCAAAAGGTACAGCTATCAATCGAGCATACACTCGCTTGGATCATTCATACTGTTCCCGTTTTGGGAGACTGTCCTACCATTGATGCGCTTGTCCGATCTTTGCTGTGCCCGAATCGTAACTTTACGGCAACGTCATTCCCACGGTAAAGCTCGGATAAGAGCGAATATTTTTATACAACAATTTATGACCAATAACTACACTTTCGTATACACAATAGCCAATCTAGTCCTGCACAGACTTCACAAATGCGTCCGAGAATACATGGCGTCCGATTATCGGTGGCTTACTCTACTACTTTAGCTAGCGGTGGAGCGTAGTGTAGCGTGCAATTGTATCGGGCTGTTGTAGCGCGGACCAAGCAGAGAAGACAAGACGCCGCGCAGACCTGGAATGACGCTCTTTGGAGTCTATCACGTATATACGCTACAGCTCAGCTATGGTGCAGCTAAGCCTGACATTTTTGAACAGCGTGTTCAAAACGACACAAGTGACGCACGGCACACACTCTCGCTCCAGCTCTCGCCTTTTTCTGGCTTGCGCGCGCATCTTATCGCTTACTGGCTCGCCACTTTTCCCTTGCCTGCCAGCTTGGGATGTAGCCGCAGCCATCTACAGCTTACCAAGAAAGGTCACTGGCCATTGTTTGCTCATTAGTAAACTGTGGCTACTCAGCCAGCGAATACTCATATTGACTCAATTAACGGCAGCCACACATCCTCGGGGATATGGGTATTGACGTGCTGGCGGCTTGGGTACTGGGAATACTACTAGCGTGGTGCCTTTGAAAATCAGTAAAACTAGGCTACAAGCATAATTATTATCTAAAGATCACAAAGCTCATTATTATATGCTGCTTTACTTTCAGTGTGTTGTTTGTTGTGCAGATGGTCCAACAGAGACCAGTATCTTTCCATGTGTGGCCACCTCTCTGCTCTTTCACTGCCTACTTCATTGCCTGGTAGCTACTTTAATTTCACATTCTTTAATTCTTTTGTCGTTATTATAGGACTCTACCTGTTTCTTTGATCGTGATTCTATTCGGAGTAATAGCTCAACAGTACGAAATAGTCGACAAAGCCAAAGACTGTTCCTGCTGGTGAATCAACACACCTACCTAGGCAGCTAGCTAGCACTCACACTGCCTTTGAACTATGTTATACCATTCCAGGTGCTTGCCATTCTACGGGAACGTACTTCCTCGACCAAATATAGGTTTCCACAATGGAAAAGTGAGAAATGAGAAAACATTAGTTGCAGTTGGTTTAATTGGCCAGAAACATTTCTCTTTTCAGCAAGGAGACAAGTACTTGCTCCATTTGCACTACTTCATAGTATCCTATGCTGCAGTTCTCATTAGCAACTTTGTTATTGTGCTCAGCTGTATGGCAGTGACCTATTACAAGATTTTTCGTCGAATAAAACGAATGATAGTGACACAAGGTAATCAATAAACATTGCTATTACACAAAAAAATTAGTAAAGCAGTCACCTCTCAGAGAACAATGAGAACACTCCTCTCTATGGAGCCACTCGTGCCATGATTCTCGCTGGACAGAAAGATGCAAAGAAGAGAGTTTTCCTCTTTTTCTCTGTTTTCTTTGTTACAGGATTCGTCAGTGAGTTAACTTATATCGCAGTAAGAAACACTCTCTCATGTGGTCAAGTATGTATGTGGAAAAATAATGAATGGGTAATATGCCAGAAACATTTCTACCTGTAACTACTGGAATTCTGACAGAATGCAGGAAATTCCTGCACAACTTGGACATGTGCGGCATGACAACTATTAGTGCATTGGAAACTCTTTCGCTACATTATGATTCCTGCACATTTTCCTAGGCTTCACCTTTTTGCTAAAATTTTTACATTCCCCAATGTGCAGGAAGCATATTTCCGGCAAGTACAATGTTTCACAGTGATGCAGGATTTCTATTTTCTCACAGCGTTTGCATTTGGAATAGGGTTATTTCCAAAGCTTCATAACAACTTTTACAAAGGAGAGAACGCTATATACATTACCCTTATCTTTGAGGCAAGTATAAACTTAATGGAAAAATGTTGATAATAATATCTTTTTAACAGGCAATATTTGTACCATCTCAAGGATTTATGAATGCCCTGGTATATGGCTGGACTCGTGGAGATTTCCTGAGTGTAATGTCGACACGACGACACAACAGAACACCGTCTGACTCTGTTGGCACCTCCTATGAAGGAATGGAAAAGGAGGAGGAGGAGGAAGAGACAGAGGTGGAGGATGAGAGAGAGGACAGGGAGAGAGGGTTCCACCCAGAGAACTCCTTCCTCTCCTCCTTCAGCTGAACTCACCAACAATACAACTGACTGTAAATTGCAATAATCAACAGTGACATCCAAGTATAATATATACTTCCCATAATGGCATATTTGAGAGTTGTGCCTTAAGCACCCAGCAAGACATAACAGTGTCTCAAGTAAAAGTTCCGTTTCCAATTTTCATATTTTGTTTGATTTCCATGAAATACTCAGCACTTTCATGTCATTTTGCAATTGATTTAGAGAAAAAATTAGCAGATTTATGTTGAAACTTTGAACAACTGGATGACAAATTTGTGAACCATTCAATTGATGGGTAGCTATATAGCTACTTTTTACAACAACACCAACTTGTGGTTCACAAACTTGTCACTCTAAAATTTCAGGGTTGACAAATTTGTCACCCCTGTAGTATGGATAGTATTACATAGTCCCAAATTTATGAACCCTACTTCCAAAGTTGACAATCAAACATTTGCTGAAATGTACATTGTTTTCTTAGAATATTATTCAGAGGAAGAGTGCTAATTTTTATATGATTTTGGGGAAAATCTGAAAATAAAAAACGGAACTTTTACTTGAGACACTGTTGACATGTAAAAGATTGAAGATGCACATCAAGGGGCATTCACATGGCTACAATATTGTTGGTGCCTTTATCCTCAATGCAGCAGCTCAATGGTTAATTAAAGAGCAGTGTTCGGCAGCTAGCTATATAACTTACTAATTAAAACCTAAATCGACCTGGTTATTGATAAAGCCATGGCCATTACATTAGTCCGGCTAGTAGTAACTTCTTTCGCAATGGTCCCAAAGAATCAGTGTAGCTCATAGCCCTTTTCCAACAGCAATTTAGCCAAGTACGAACTGTTTTGGTAGGTAATGCAGGAAGATTTTGAGAAAAAGATTCTTGACCTGGAGCTCTGTTTACCAATGATGTGGTCCTTGCCGGCCCTGCTTCCGTTTTGAGTGGGTTGCGTACGCATGTGTGGGCGGATGAAAAGTAGCCGCCCGGCCGGCCGAGACCAGCCGGGCGCACACGCGTGCGCGTGCATCATCCCTCCGGGCCGTACGTTTCGTACGTCGCGTCGTCGTCGGCCGGCGTGGCGGTGCACAGATACGACGGTCTTCAATCACGATGGATTTTGACACACTCCCTAACAACTCTTTGGAGGGTAAAGGATGTGCTATAGACTGCCATATGGAAACTAAAGAGGTTAGGTACACCTACTAGCTACGTGTGTGTATATACAGCCTGCACGTGTATAAAACAGAAAGGGGAATTTGAGGTGGTTGCAGTATTGAGGCTCATCATATCTTCCTTGAGGTAGCTGAATATTTCATAACCACTTTGAGAAGAATTTTGTCCTCAATTCTTGCAGTATCATTGGAGCATTGTCTGTCGTTGGTTCAGCTGTGTACAGAAGAACGGTCTGCAATCCAAAGTATGATGCATTCAGATCATAGATGCATGATGACTGCTAGCATGATGCGTCCAGGTCCATCCAATATTTGTCCTGGTGCACAGACAGTGGCAATATTATAACACACACACACACAAGGAACAAAAGGTAAAGAACTTGAGATGTACTGTACATCGAAAAGCAAAACTTACACAGATTACAGAGGTAAAGTAATAAACTAAGGTGTCCAGGTGTAACAAACAAAAGGTGTCCAGGTGTACAGGTGCAGATGTTTAGTCAAAACAGCCTCGTTTGGCAACCTGAGTCAGTGTTTCAGCAATCCCCTTGACCTCCTTCCTGAGCGCCTTCACCTCCGCCTCCAGCCTGCCCACCCTCTCTCTCATGTCATCATCGGAGTCAGAGGACGACTCAGTCAAGGTTAACTCTCCAATGGCTGGTGGAAATTGGACGCCGTCCACTGCTATTACCAACTATTCCACGAAAGACAGCACCTGCAGCAGGTTGTCCGTGGCATATTTCAAAATATATTCACGGTCACTCGGCCATGTCTCTCCTGCGCCTCAACAAGGTGCAGATAAGCCTTGTCGGCGACAAACCCCACAAGCCAGACATCTTGCATTTGCCTGCACGCCTGCATCGCTGGTACAGCCCTTCCCCGTCTCCCTTCACCTCCCCATATCCCCAAAACCTCACGCACAAGGCCCTAGAGCTCAAAATCCACAACTCATGTGACCGGCCCTTCATTCTTGGCACACCAATCCGTCTTAGTGGATGCCTTTGGGTACCGGCAGTTCCTGCCGGTAGTTCTTGCTCTGTCCGGTCTTAGCTTCAAGAGCTCGTACACGAAGAAATTCCCAGAACCGCTGCTGTACCGTCGGGCGTGGCAAAATTTCCAAAGATGTCCCGAAGGGCGGGTGTTGACCGGGGGAGCTTCTGGTATTACCTACCTGGAGGCACATGCGGAGTATTACACTCTACATGCTCCACACATTCTCCTCGTCATAACGCTATAGCTAAAGTTGGAACGAAGCGCGCGTGTGCAGTGCTAGCACCCAGGCCCTTCTTCGGAGCTAGTGCAGTTGCGACTAGGTGAGCTCGCTTCGCTCGCCAATCACACTCATTATTTACACTGACAACCTCGTTCACCGCACTAAGAAGCAATTCATACGCGCGCCACACTGGTTTCAAACGTTTTCACGAGGCGCATGCGCGCAAAACGACAAAAAGGGGGTTCCGCGCCGCGGAACCGCCCTGGATCCGCCACTGTCCACACGCCCACAGCGCGTGCGGCGACCGTCATCGTGCGCGCATGCGTACCACAGCAGTCGACTAGATATAGAGAGAGACGCAAGATGGGTTCAGCTTTTCCTAACAGTACTTTTTATGACGATGGATGTCGTGTCGATTGCCACATGGAAACAAATGAGGTCGGAAACTCAGTGCGTAAACCCACCTATTCAAATACCCTCAAACGTGCAGAGAGTAGGGTTTGACGTGGTGGCGGCCCTGAGGCTCGTCATGTCTTCCTTGAGGTACATTTTGAAACACTGCGCGCGCATCTAGCACTATCCTGTGGCTCAACTTCTTCCAGTATCGCTGGAGCACTGTCAATTGTCGGTTCAGCTGTGCACAGAAAAACCGTTTGTAACCCCAAAGTAATATATAGCTAGATGCAAATAAGTTGTTAGCTACTGTCTGCCGTTATCTGTCCAGGTCCACCCAATATTTGTCCTGTCAATTGTGGACACTCTGCTGAGTGCACTGTGGATCAGTGGAGCACTGGTGTGGCTGAAAGGAGGTGTTCAACATCATCGAGTTGGCTGCTTTACCATCACATGCATGACCGTTGTGAGCTATACTCTCCAATAGCAGCTGAGCTATATATAGCTACGCCTATTATTATTAGTCATTTTCACTTCACAGAATGTTTGTGTTTACTATTGAAAGTCCCAAAACTAACACACCCACAGATTCTTCAATGTGTTGCTATGAACGTGACCCTCATCTATGCCCTCTTGGCCTACTCCAGTATCAAACTGAGAGATTTCAGCAGTGTATATGTGAGCAATAGCACATAGCTTGAGCAGCAGAGCTGCAGTTCCTCTTGCAATTCAACAGCAGTATTCTTTGCATATCCAGATGGTTCAAAACACAAAGCTCTCAACCCATATATGGCGTCCTCTCTGCTCTTTCACTGCCTACTTCATTGCCTGGTATATATGCCATTATGCTTCTCCCTCCATGACCATCATTATCATATTGTAGGACTCTTCCTATTCCTCTCATCATGATTCCATTTGGAGTTATAGCTCATAAGTACAAGATTGTCGACAAGGCCGACAACTGCTCGTGCTGGTATATACATAAAAGCCCAACAATAGCACTGTACTGTATATCCATCGTGCCCTTGCTGTATCACTTCAGGTGTTTGCCGTTTTATGGGAATGTTCTTCCTCGAGCTAAGCTAGGTCTTCATAATAATGTGAGAAGTTTTCTTAAAGTGATTTTGTTTTTTGTCAGCAACCTTTCCCTGCAGGTGGAAGAAAACATGTACTTGCAACAACTACACTACTTCATTGCATCTTATGCTACAGTCCTCACTGTCAACTTTGTTGTTGTGCTCTGCTGTATGGCAGTGACGTATTACAAGATATTTCGTCGGATAAAACGAATGATACTAACACAAGGTAGTGTCTGACATGATCCCATTTAGGAGGCTTTGTCCCTCAATCTTTCCTTAACAACTTTGGAATCTTAGCTATATACAACATCCAAGTGACATCCACCCAATATTTGTGTAATTCACTAGCATTACTATAACGAAGGATAAGTATTATAATAAATCTGTGACTATTATTAATTTTCTCAGAGAACAATGAGAACACTCCTCTCTATGGAGCCACTCGTGCCATGATTCTCGCTGGACAGAAAGATGCAAAGAAGAGAGTTTTCCTCTTTTTCTCTGTTTTCTTTGTTACAGGATTCGTCAGTGAGTTATTCTACATTAAATTTCAGTGTGACATTATGTGTCTTTTAACTCTTACAGTTTCTGTGTTTGGAATATTTACCTTTAATATCATCCTGTTGAAACACCATAATAACCACACAGCAAAGATATTCATCTTTATCTCCCTTATCTTTGAGGTATATATACTGCTCACATTTTTTTAAATTCACTTTTTAACGTAGTTCTTACTTAGCACTGTCGCCACAGTTATGCCCCTTGCTGTTTAATTTTATTGCCATAATATTATCCCCCTTTGATTTTTGCTCTTGTGAAACTAACAATGTCATTACTAGCAACCTTGGAGTTCTACTAGCACTTATGTGCTCACAAAAACCTGACTTTTTTTGTATGTAGGCATTATTTGTACCATCTCAAGGATTGATGAATGCCCTGGCGTATGGCTGGACTCGTGGAGATTTCCTGAGTGTAATGTCGACATGTCGACACAACAGGACACTGTCTGACTCTGTTGGCACCTCCTATGAAGGAATGGAAGAGGAGGAGGAGGAGGAGACAGAGGTGGAAGACGAGAGAGAGGACTGGGAGAAGGGGTTCCACCCAGAGCTCCCAACAATGACTGTAAATTGTGCACCTTGCAATAATCAACAGTGAAAGCCAAACATCCAAGTACTTCCTATAATGGCATATTTGAGAGTTGTGCCTTAAGCACTCAGCAAGACACAACAGTGTCTCAAGTAAAAGTTCCATTTCCAGATTTTGTTTGATTTTCATGAATACTCCGCACTTTCATGTCATTTTGCAATGGAGAAAAAATTAGCAGATTATGTTGAAACTTTGAACAACTGGATGACAAATTTGTGAACCATTCAATTGATGGGCACTTTTTACAACACCAACTTGTGGTTTACAAACTTGTCACTCAAAAATTTCAGGGTTGACAAGTTTGTCACCCCTGTAGTATGGATAGTATTACATAGTCCCAAATTTGTGAACCCTACTTCCAAAGTTGACAATCAAACATTTGCTGAAATGTTCTTAGAATATTTAGAGGAAGAGTGCTGATTTTTATATGATTTTGGGGAAAATCTGAAAATAAGAAACGGAACTTTTACTTGAGATACTGTTGACATGCAAAAGATTGAAGATGCACATCAAGGGGCATTCACATGGCTACAATATTGTTGGTGCCTTTATCCCCTCAATGAAGCAGCTAAATGGTTATTTAAAGAGCGGTGTTCGGCAGCTAGCTATATAACTTACTAATTAAAACCTAAATCGACCTAGTTATTGATAAAGCCATGGCCATTACATTAGTCCAGCTAGTAGTAACTTCTTTCGCTATGGTCCCAAAAGAATCAGTGTAGCTCATAGCCCTTTTCCAAACAGTGGCCAAGTACGAACTGTCTTGGCCGGTAATGCAGGAAGATTTTTGAGAAGAAGATTCTTGACCTGGAGCTCTGTTTACCAATGATGTGGTCCTTGCCGGCCGCCCTGCTTCCGTTTTAGTGCGCATGTGTGGGCGGATGAAAAGTAGCCGGCCGGCCGGCCGAGACAGCAACAGCCGGGCGCACACGCGTGCGCGTGCATCATCTCGTCGGCCGGCGTCGCGTGGCGGTGCACAGATAGACGGTCTCTTCAATCACAATGGATTTTGACACACTCTCTAACAACTCTTCGGAGGGTAATGGATGTGCTATAGACTGCCATATGGAAACTAAAGAGGTTAGGAAATTACACCTAGCTACTAGCTACGTGTGTGTACAGCCTGCACGTGTATAATATAACAGAAAGGGGAGTTTGACGTGGTTGCAGTATTGAGACTCGTCACATCTTCCTTGAGGTAGCTGAATATTTCATAACCACTTGAGAATTTTGTCCTCAATTCTTGCAGTATCATTGGAGCATTGTCTGTCGTTGGTTCAGCTGTGTACAGAAGAACGGTCTGCAATCCAAAAGTATGATGCATTCAGATCATAGATGCATGATGACTGCTAGCATGATGTGTCCAGGTCCATCCAATATTTGTCCTGTCAATTGTGGACACTCTGCTGAGTGCACTGTGGATCAGTGGAGCACTGGTGTGGCTGAAAGGAGGTTTTGAACATCATCCTCCTCTAAGAGTTGGCTGCTTTACCATCACATGCATGACTGTGGTGAGCTAATCTCGCTATTATATATGTGAGGCATAAAAGTAATAAGCTTCCCAAATGAACAGATTCTTCAATGTGTTGCTATGAATGTGACCCTCATCTATGCCCTCTTGGCCTACTCCAGTATCAAACAGAGAGATTTCAGTGGTGTATATGTGAGCTCTTGCTATGTTGTTATTATTGTAGCATAGTGTAATGACTGTTTGCAGTGTACGTGCATTTTCAGTTTTGAATGTTTATTTTCATTATTCTGCTGTGTTGGTGCAGATGGTCCAACAACAACCAGTATCTGTCCATGTGTGGCCTCCTCTCTGCTCTTTCACTGCCTACTTCATTGCCTGGTATATAATTATTATCTATGGGGGCGTGGTCGATGGCCCTATATAGTGCTATATATGGCTGCCACTTGAGTATTAGATAATTCCACTAGCATAATAATACTTAACAATGACGACTGTCTACAGGACTCTACCTATTCCTCTCATCATGATCCCATTTGGAGTGATAGCTCAACAGTACAAGATAGTGGACAAGGCTTCAGACTGTACCTGCTGGTTAGTAACCATACTTATGGGCACAAATGACTTTGAAGCTTTCAGTAGCTTTTGTCTCTCCAGGTGTTTGCCATTCTACGGGAACATTCTCCCTAGAGCAAACATAGGTCTCAGAAATCATCACGTGAGGAGCTTTTTAAGTTTTTTTGGTTTTGTCAACACACTGTTGCTCCCATTCAGGAAGGAAATGACTACCTGCTCCATTTGCACTACTTCATATCGTCCTATGCTACAGTCCTCATTACAAACTTTGCCATTTCTTTCTGCTGTATGGTAGTCATCTATTACAAGGTGTTTCGTCGAATAAAACGAATGATAGTGACACAAGGTATTATAGCTAACCAAAAGGTTACTCTTGGAACCAAGGGTATCACGATGTGTATGGTTCAACAGAGTAGACAACATATTGTTTAAAGGAAATTTTATTGCACACCTAGTGAAGGGTGTCCCAGGCGCAACATAATTATTCCTTTAATAATATGTTGTCTACTCTGTTGAACCATACACATCATGATACCCTTGGTTCCAAGAGTAACCCATACACTTTCAATGTGGCACTTTCCCTGTGTATCTGCACATACACAGGGAAAGTGCCACATTGAAAGTGTATGCATTAAAAAGTGGACCTTTCCATTACTCAGACAACAATGAGAACACTCCTCTCTATGGAGCCACTCGTGCCATGATTCTCGCTGGACAGAAAGATGCAAAGAAGAGAGTTTTTCTCTTTATCTCTATTTTCTTTGTGACAGGAATCATCAGTCAGTCGCTCTACATGCAGTTATGTGATCTGTTTCATGTCTTGTGCTATCACACAGCTTCTTCCCTTGGGATAAAAAGCATAGTGTTTCTGATGAAAAACCACAACCACCATCAGAATTATCACGAAGTGGAAAAAGAAATGTTTATCTCTTTTATCTTTGAGGTTTTGATGTAATACAATGTATAGACATGCATAGACATGCTTGTCTTACTATGCAGGCATTATTTGTACCATCTCAAGGATTTATGAATGCCCTGGCGTATGGCTGGACTCGTGGAGATTTCCTGAGTGTAATGACCACACGACGACACAACAGAACACTGTCTGACTCTGTTGCCACCTCCTATAAAGGAATGGAAGAGGAGGAGGAGGAGGAGACAGAGGTGGAGGACGAGAGAGAGGACTGGGAGAGAGGGTTCCACCCAGAGAACTCCCTCCTCTCCTCCTTCAACAGGGCTCGCGACTCAATGACAGGGGAGAGGAGACAGAGAGGGAACACTGCTCTAACCCCAGTATCTCCTGGAGAACTCCTTGGAACTCCATCATACTGAGCTGCTGTTTACTGTGCGACCCATTGCAATTTGCAAGCATCCAGATCCCTAGACACATAATTATTATACACATGGCCCTTGATATGTATAACAAACATGTTTGTGCGTACCCAAGGCCAACAGGGAAAACCCTGATTGGAAAACAATAGCTATGCAAAGAATCGACAGCAATATATTATAGACACACTGAAACTGAACATTAAACTGGAAGGCTGTTCACGCTATATTAACAACAGTGAAAGTGTACCTGAGCGTTAGCTAAATTATAGTAGCCATAAGATTGTAAACAACAATATCAAAACTATCATACAAAACCTAGCAAAAGTATTAAATACCTATCGCATGGAAAGCCATGTATCAAATGAGTCTCATACATAACTGCTCAGTTTATTCTGAAGTCGAAACTGCCTCTCAGGCGACTAGTATACTCAGGTTGCTGTTGCCAGGGTACATCTCCTGCCAAGTCATCCAGGATCTTTGTGAGTGGTACATTCAAATTTTCTCTGATCCTCTTAGCCAGCTTGTGCATCCAGTATCTATCGTGAGCAACGTGCTCATCAATGGTGGCATGGGCAATAAGAAAGTTGCCTTCTTCGTGCGAGAGACCTTTAGTCGTAGCTTCAAAATCTTTCACGGTTTGTTCGAGACTCTTGGTAATCTTGTTGCTTCCTCGGCATGCATCAATAAAGAACAGTTTTGGTATCCTACGCATTCCAGGATGTTTAACAAAGCGCCGTAGAATATCGTTCATCAAGGAGAGTGACTTTCTATCACGGGAGACGAGTTTATCTCCACGACCTCCATGTCCAGAGAAAGCAAACACCAATGCTCGGTCGGTCGTTGGGCCACAATATCGGCTCAAGTAATCCGACAGTTGTATCAGTGTGGTTTTTATTGCAGACTTGGTTGCTCCCTCGTTACAAAGTTGGACAACATTGTAGCCAAGTCTTTTGAATGTAAGTTCCATTTCAGCTCTGTCTGCTTCTGTTCCTGGTAGTGTCCCTTTGTAGCTGCAAGTTACTAGCACTAGAATCCCCCTATACTTATTCAAGTAGAAATCTTTCTGTCGAATTTCTACAAAGAAAACTCATCATAGATCATGCTATGCAATAACATTGCATACCTTCTTTAAAATATTTCTTGTACAGCACTATAGGCATTAGCAAGATGGAAAAAAATTGCAGTGGCTGTTATAAAAAGATTAACATTCATTATCAAAAGCCCAAACTGACTTCTATACAAACCTGCTATTAAACCGATGAAATAATACGAAATGCATGCCACGATCAAGGAAAAACAGATCACTAGAAAGAAACACCACACTGGGTAATGCAATATTGTTAATACACTTATGACACCATGTTCACCTGGTACATTATTAAAATATCCAGATTCATCTGACTCAATGATACCACCAACTCTATCGCCTGTGCAGGACTAATTGATCATTCTCTTAAAAATTGAAACTGACTCACCAGACTGAGACAAAGAAGATTCTTCTAGACTACTGTATTGCTCTCTCAACCTCACTGTTCCTGCATAAGAAACTTATTGTTGTAATAATTATGGACATCATTGGAATATTATCTTACCTGCCTCATTGGCAGCAGAATCTGCTTGAATGATACCACCAGACCCAGTGTGACCTAAAACAAACAGGAAGTGTAAATTCCTCCCTCTATATTGCATAACTTTTGGCAGGTTTTGACCTTAGAGCAAAAGGTTCACCCTAGGCCATAGCAGCACATTCTTGGCGAGCGAGAGCGTTTTGCCTATTATTTAGCTCTCTCCCGCTCGTTTTACCTTCAGTAAAAACACAATCTGTCTTGTCTCTACCAGAGGAGCCATTAGAGTCTGCACGGTAAACGCGTTCAATATTATTGTTCTCCAGCATACATCTCAGCTCGTCTGCCAACATCATGTTATTGGCCTCCTCTGCTGCTCGGATCAAAACCCGGAAGGTGGCGTTGCTGCTGTGCAACCTCTTCCACTCTCTCAGAAGCGCTTTCTTCTGTTCTTGGTAGCCGCCGGGCGTCCTTCGTATATTTTCATCTGTTACGTTTTTTAGTTTCAGAAACGGAGATATTTCCTCCCACTTCGTTAGATACTCCTGTGCTATTATCGCTATGTCTCTGTCAGTCACTACACTGTCTAGCAAGGCTTCCGCCATTGGTGCCTGCCCTGTATCTTCAGTGGGCGAGAGCGTAGAGCGCGTAGGGGCGAGGTCCGGGGAAAGCAGGGGCGGCGAGGTCCGCGTGCGCGTCAGTGCAATGCGGAAAACAAACCATTTTATACACAACCCTACGAATATTAGCTGATAGGAGAACATGCATGATTTATGAAAGTGGCATCAATGTTTATGAAGGGCTGAGGTTGGTATAGCGATACGTAGTTGGGTCTACCTGCAGTAAATGCAGCCTGCTCCTTGGGTGGCTCCGTGTTAGTGTTTGTATTATACACACCATAACAACTTCGTAATAATAATTATAGTGAATGGAGTCACCATAACTACTCAGTTTATACGGAATTCGAAACTGCCCCTCAGGCGACTATTCATGTATAATTATAGATACTCGGGTTGCTGTTCCCACTATCGGTACATCTCTTGCCTAGTCATGCAGGATCTCATTCTAATCAGCTAGTGCATCCAGTAGCTATTGTGCTCATCAATAATGGTGGTATGGGCAATAAGGAAATTGCCTTCTTCGAGTTATTGTTGTAGCTTCAAAATCTTTTACGGTTGTTCAAGACTCTTGGTGCTTCCTCGGCATGCATCAATAAAGAACAGTTTTGGTATCCTACGCATTCCAAGATGTTCAACAAAGCACCGTAGAATATCGTTCATCAAGGAGAGTGACTTTGTATCGCGGGAGACGAGTTTATCTCCACGACCTCCATGTCCAGAGAAAGCAAACACCAATGCTCGGTCGGTCGTTGGGCCACAATATCGGCTCAAGTAATCCTACAGTTGATCAGCGTTGTTGTTATTGCAGACTTGGTTGCTCCCTCGTTACGAAGTTGGACCTGAGTAAAAAGGTGGCCTAAACTTTCGTACTTTTGCGGAAGGAAGGACAGGTCAACAAACCATAATTATACCATCTCATAATCACTAAAAGTGGGAGTAGGCATGATGAGACGCAACCACTAGGTAAGGTCCGCTTTTAAACGGAGAACACTGGTATAACTAGACAATCCACCTGCCCTTCTCCATCTCGGGCTCCTAAGATGGCACACCACACGACCTCAGCAGGATTCATAAATCATTAACACTCCAGTGTTTTTAACTGGCGTGTATGCAATGCTGCTATGCTGGCTGCAAAGTGCTTCATTTCAAATAAAATCCAAACAACCACACAAATCACAGAATAAACTGTCCATCCATAAGTGACAACAATGCTATTTACACAATGACTACATGGTGTAATTGATGAATGCTAGGATTGATTAATGAGTGATACCAGCGACAGCCTTCAGAGTTAGCAGCAGCATGATAATCATGAAATTGAGAGGTTACACACGTCATAAGACTCTACGCTAGACACTAAATACAGAAGTTGAGGGTAGTCTATATCGTAGAGCCATGGTTATGAAAAGGGCTCGCAGTGCATAGAGGTAAGGAGGTATTATACATACAGCTCGGTCGGAAGATTACATACACTACAGGAAGTAGAGCCGGTCAGCCAACTCTTTGGATGGCTCTTTGTGGATGGACTGGCCCACCAGGAAGGCCAGCTTGTGAGCATACTGACATGGAGCTGGTACTCGAACCGTCCCCTACAGACCACAGATGAAAATACACAATATGTGCAGCATCACATCTCCCAAAAGGTTTTTGTGCCCTCCAAAAAACTAAGCTAGTGAAATTTCTTTTTGCACAGTGAAACCTTGAAAAAGGACCCTCCAAACAGACACTATGGTTGGTCTGCCCTATTGAACTGCCCCCTAAGAAAAATACACACTATTTGCAGCATCACATCTCCCAAGGGCCAGGCCCCCAATGTGTCCCTTATTCATAGGTTTTCTGTAATCGTGCATCACTTCAGCCCTCTCATCCTTAAGTAATGAGGCTTCAAGGAATCTTTCAATGGACTAAACATAACTGAGCACCAACGAAGAGTTGAACGAGTCACTGTAGTTTGTGTAAGAGAGCTCACAGGCCAGTTGTAGTAGAGGTGGCAGAGTTTGTAGGTGAGCCTCTGCATGTGGTCCGGTTTCAGGCCACTCGTATCATAGATGACGTTGAAATGGGTGGGAGTGACTGTTCCCTGACGAACACTCTGGCTTGCCAGGAAGAAATCGTACCTGTGCACACAGACACACAGACAAGTTCATATTATAGTGGAAAAGTGAAGGAGGAAGTGTCAATTGCGGAGAGTACAGCAATTTAGTTCGACACACCAAAGAGGTACGTATATATTACCAACGCAGAATGCACTGTTCGCTTCATGTTGTCACAAACAAGGTTGCAAGCAAGGCAAAAACACAGGAAGAAAAAGAAGAGGTCCTGTGGTGGGACTTAACCCGCAACACTTAGGGCAGATATCTCGCTCTACCATGACCATGCAGCTAAGATGCTCAGCATGTGAGATGTGTATCTCAGCTCACCACTCTGGCTTGGTGATGACAGTGTCCACCACGGTGCCCGGTGGAGGGTTGGCCAGACCTTGACGGCTCTCGTGAAACATTCGGCTGTTGATCCTCTTCTTCACAACCACCACTGCCAACTTGGGACTGACATAATCAATCAGAGGAAAACAATAAGAATGAGTGAAACCAAAAACGCAAGTCCTACCAGCAAGTCATGAAAAGTATGTTTATAGCATATGTGGGTCTAAGCGTGTGTTTAAGTATGTAGTATCACTGAGCTTGTATCTCATGCATGTATTACTGATTAAGTTTGAGCCCAAAGCTCTGAAGTGCTGTCTTCCAATTGTCAGAAATACTGGGACGCTCAAGCTCAATATTAGAGGTGATTTGTGACAGGGTAACTCGGTGGTTTACCTATAATCTGCCTTGCATCTGGAAAGCGGACATCATCTGGGGAACCTCATGCTCACACACTGCCGGCAGCTACATTATAGAGGTGATGGGAACAGGAAGAGAAGGGTTACGTACTGTCCACTGTCCTGACTAAATCGACAGTATTGTTCAGGGCATGGACTAAAACAACTAGTGACCACAACAAAGGCACACTGTATATAATACAGCTGACCTTTGCAAACAGGTTTTGTGGAGTAGGACAAGCACAAAACCTTTTTCCTAAAGTTGCCTGCTACACAGTTCAATTTTGGAAATATGCAATTTTCAAAGCTTCTAAAAGTGAATCTCCCAGATTAAACTTCCATACCTGTCCATCTCCGACGCCGTCTCGATAGACCAAAATCCTCTCGGGGAGGCGCTTGTTGATGTCGTGGTAGTTCTTGAGAGCCGCAGTCATGCAGACTTTCAGATTGTCGGCCAGCTCCTGCCCAGTGTGCTGGAACATGCACTGAGAGTAGTACCTATAGTCAGAGGACAGAGAGAGAGAGAGAGAGAGAGAGATTCAGAACCACATCAGGTTGTGTTGTGAATGCTCTGTAAGTAAGTTAGTGACTCTACAGCATTTTAAACAAGGTTTGGTATGCAGATTGCTCGTATGTAAGTTTGAAAAAAAATCACTTCAGAACTTGGTCTTTAACCAGCGGCATTACAGACACATACTCACATGCATGAAACACGCACGCACGCACAGCTCAACCTGGTGAGGGAGTTGTTGGTGCTGGCAATGAAGCCTCCAACGGAGCGACCGCGACTGGCAGAGTCGTGGTAGGAGTCAATACCCACCACCATCAGGTTCTTCACCTGGAGAGTGAGATGGGAGATGAGCAGAGCTCTCGGAAACTGTTTCGAGTCATTCTTCTATTGGATACATGTAGGTTTGGTCTTCTACCCCCAGACCCTCACTGCCCTCAAAAGAGGAAAGAAAATGGTCTTGTTTGGGTGCCCAGCGACTGGGAATCCACATAGTATTTAACTACAACTCCCGGAAAAAAGGCTCACCTCATACCCTATACACGAACATAAGAAACAGAACAAGGCAAAATGAAACCAGTTGTATGAAGTGACCGTGCTTGGATCGATCTCTCGGACCCACACCCCTCGTTGCAAGGGTGCACGTGTGTAAAATATACCTGCACTAAG